CCTGGGTCTGTTACCCCCCAACTCACCCACCCGCCCACACACACAGCCTTCCTAAAATAGAACAGTAGCTCCAAGACCTGCAGACCAACCCCCAAGGTCATTGAAAATGCCCTTGCTGAGGTCACAGAGCCCCATTCCTTGGAAATCAGTGCTCCTGACAGCTTGTATTCCAGGAACTAAGTCAGTGCAACCTTGGCCTATGAAGTATGTATTAATGACTAATTATAGTTGCCACCCATTAATCACCATGACCAATGCTTGGTTGATTTCCACAAGCTGATTATCACCTGAACTCAATGGTCTGTGACCCTAGGAGGAAGCGGGACATCTCCTTTGTTCCCCAAGCTTGAATTGACCTAGTAACCCAAGCCATAGAATATGGCTGTCTGCTCCCCAGCACGTAGGCAGTTCCTCATTTAGGGTGCAGCCAAGGGCAGCTGGGCAAATGCTGGCAGACCCTTGGATGGTACTACTTAAGAAAGGCATCTACTTTAGTTAAGAAAGGCATTTACAGAAATTGACACCTTCAGCTTTTGTTGTTGCTGTTGTTAAGTGCCATCAAGTCGGTTCCGACTCTTAGTGACCCTGTATAGAGTTTCTTGAACCTTAAAGTGGCTAGTGAGCTTGAACCACCAACCTGGCAGTTCAAACTGACTTTGCAGTCCAGCGCATTAACCCACAGTGCTACAGCAGGGCTCTGAACACTAGCCACTACTTTGATGTTGTTGTTAAGTGCTGTCGAGTTGGTTCCGACTCATAATGACCCTGTATAGGGTTTCTAAGGAGTGGCTGATGAATTTGAACCGCTGACCTTGTGGTTCAAACTGACCTTGCAGTCCAGTGCGTTAGCCCATAGCACAATACCAGGACTCCACTACTACTTTAGTATAATATTTTTGCCCAACATTGTAGACTCCCAGCAGAGATGTTCAGTTCCTTAATGGTCAGGAAGGGACCGAGAGCCCTCTGGTACACTGTTTAATTAAAGCCTCACAGCACCTCTGTCAGGCGGTCCGTAGTATTACCCTTTTCCACCTGGGGGTGCTGAGGCTGAGAGAGGACAAGCCATGTGCCCAGGGTGAGACTCTATCAGGCCTGTCAAACCATGTATTCAGTGAGTTTTCAGTGAGGATATTTTTTGTGCCAGGCATTCTTCTAAGTACTAAGGATAATAAATAAAAAGATGGTGCTTCGGAAGAAAGGCCTGATGACTTGCTTCTGAAAACTCAAGTCATTGAAGCCCAGTGGAGCTCAGTTCTACTCTGACCCTCACAGAACCGCCATGAATCCAAGTCGATAGCAGCTAGTTATAACGTACTTTGGGGATGAGATAGACACACAAAAAAGTCAACAAGTATGATATAGAAAGTAACGAGTTCTGTAAGGGGAAAATGCAGAGTAAAAGGGTAACGTGAGAGTGAACAGAAGGTGGTGGTCAGCAAAGGTCCCTGGGCAGGAGGCAGTTGAGTAGAGATCTGTATGCACAGAGCCAGTCACATGGGCATTTGAGGAAAGAGCATTTCAGGTGGTGGAAACAGCAGGCGCAAAGGTCCTGGGCTCAGCAAGAACTTTTGAGAAGGTGCAGGGTGAGCCTTGTAGGTTCCTATAGTTTTAGCTCAGGTTTCAAGTCTCCATCGTGCCCATGGAAAGAAGAATGTGTTCTCTAGACATGGGAGCCATTTCTGTGGTCTGGGAAGAAAAGTGATCGGGGAAGAGGCTTGAGAGGAATAGAAGTCTATTCCTCCTCCCGGGCTTCAGAGCAGTGCTCTTCAAAGGTGTACAGTAATGCAGAGTCCCTGCCCTGTCCTGTGCTGGGACTGAGGGATGATGCTGAGGAAAGGGTGAGCGGGTGAGAGATGGTCTCCATTTGCCAGGCTAAGAGGCTTGGACTGGGCTCTGTGGACAGAGATGTAACAGGGAGAAGCCTGAGGCACACAGACCAGTGAAGAATTACTTGGCACCGGCTATTGAAGAGAAGCTCAGGCAGGAAGCAAACTGGATGCTCGAGAAGATGGTATTACGTGGAATGTAAGACACTGTGGCCCTGAGTGTGAGGGATGTGAGAGAGAGAAGGTCGTTGGGTCTGCTGGTCTCTTGGGTGGCTGTCATGGTCTGAGCTAACAACCAGGAGGAGGCACAGAAGGGTGCTTTATGCTGCACAGAAGCTCATTGTCTGGCTTCCCTGTCACCTCATGGTGCAGCTCAGGGTGCAAACGCTTAGGCTGGAAAACCAGAGGCCTGTTGTTTGCTGCCTGATGATAGAAATGACTTCAACAGGGTTCATGATACCCCTTTCAGATCCCCATTTCTTACTAACCAAATAGTAACCTTTTCTTTTTATTGTGGTGAAATTATACACAACAAAACATCTCATTTCTACATGTGTGATTCAATGACATTAATTACATTCTTCAAATTGTTCAGCCACTTTTCTGAATTATTCCACTGCTATTAATATAAACTCAAGGAGCTCTGGTAGCGTAGTGGTTACGAATCAGGCTGCAAACTGCAATGTCAGCTGTTCTAAACTACTGACTTTCTGCTCCCGTAAAGATTTACAGCCTCAGAAACCCTGTTCAGGGTCGCTATGGGATGGAACCGACTCGACGGCACTTAACAACAACATTAATATAAACTCAAGGAGCTCTGGTAGCGTACTGGTTACGAATCCGACTGCTGACCTCAACATCGGTAGCTCAAAACTACCGGCTGTTCCGTGGGAGAAAGATGAGGCTTTCTGCTCCCACAAATCTGCTGCACAGGAACTTTTTAAAGTATTGAAGAGCAGAGATGTCAGCTTGAGGACTAAGGTGCGCCTGACCCAAGCCATGGTATTTTCAATAACCTCATATGCATGTGAAAGCTGGACAGTGAATAAGGAAGATCGTAGAAGAATTGATGCCTTTGAGTTGTGGTGTTGGAGGAGAATACTGAAAGTGCCATGGACTGCCAAAAGAACCAATAGATCTGTTTTGGAAGAAGTGCAGCCAGAGTGCTCCTCGGAGACCAGGATGGCTAAGCTTCGTCTCTCATACTTTGGACATATTGTCTGGAGGAAACAGTCGCTGGAAAGGATGTCATGCTGGGTAAGGTGGAGGGTCAGAGAAAAAGAGGAAGACCCCCAACAAGATGAATTGGCCAGGTGGCATCATTGATGGACTCAAGTGTGGCAGCAGTAATGAGGTTGGCCCAGGATCGGACATTGTTTCGTTTTGCTGTGCATGGGGTCACTATGAGTCCATTCCTACTCGATGGCACCTGACAACAACAACCAAGATTTGCAGCCTTGGAAACCCTGTGCAGGGTCACTATGAGTCAGAACCGACTCCACGGTACTTAATAACAACAATTAATATAAACTCAGTGCCCCTGTTCAAAAACTTATCCTTTTCCCTCTCCCTCACACTCCCAGTAACCATTAATCATTTATGGGGCTGTAGGCTAAGCACTGGACTGTTAACCACAGGTTGGTGGTTCAAACCTACCAGTTGCTCTTCGGAAACCCTATTCAGTGTCACTGTTAGTCGAAACTATTTCTATTACCCTTAACAACAGCAATGTGTATTTACTTAGGAACCCTAATGGCATAGGGTGAAACCATTTGACTATTAACCAAAAGGTCAGCAGTTAGAACCCACCAGCCATTCCTCAGGAGAAAGATGTAGCACTCTGTTTCCTGAAAGTTTTACACCTTTGAGAGCTTAAGGAACAATTCTGCTCTGCCTTGTTGGGTCCCTGTGAGTCAGAATCAACTCAACGTAATAGCCTTTATTGTTGTTGTTGTTGTTATGTGCTGTGGAGTCGGTTCCGACTCATAGCGACCCTGTACAGGGTTTCCGAGGCTTTATATATTTGCTTATTTCTTATTAGTGAGATCGTACAGTAGTCAGTTGTTTCTACTTTGTGGCAATTGTGAAACGTGCCGCAGTGAGCAGGGGTGTACTCTTTGCATTGCTGCCTTCGCTGCTGCTGGGTACACACCAATGGCTGGGATTGCTGCGTCACACGTAGTTCTGTGTTCAATCTTTTGAGGAACTGCCAAATTGTGTTCTTATCTTTTCTTATGAACTTCTGGGCTATAAAATTAGAGCTTGGACAGGCCACCTGTGGTTATATTTGGGTACATTAATTTTTCCAATTATAAACTGAGCACAGAGTCATTATGGATCATTTTGAAAAGACAAAACAAATCATATTAAACAATATGTCTTTCACCTTTTCTCCTATGCAGTGGTTTGCTTGTTATGTCTTAGTTGGGATCCTATGGCATATTCTCAAGTATATTTTCTATCCACTTAAAATTTTTACTCTATTGCATAGGCATTTTTTTCTACTACTGCATTTTGGCCTCATTTTACATGGCTCCTTAGTTTTTCACTGCATGAGTGTACCATACATTACTTAATTAATTTATTGTTATTAGACCTTCAGATTGTTTCCCATTTCATGTTATCAATACATCAATCATGCCTTGAAATTCCAAATATTTTCTACCTTTAGAATTGCTTTCTTAAGCTTGGAATTACAGATATGGACTTCCTGATGCAAAAATAAAGGTTTTTTTTTCGAAGTTTTTGATACAATCTGGTTTTGTCTAATTCCCCTCCAGAAAATTTGTACCACTGCACACTCCTACTCACCGCCTTCACAGCTTTGGGGGGGGGGGGGGGGGGGGGGGGGGGGGGGGGGGGGGGGGGGGGGGGGGGGGGGGGGGGGGGGGGGGGGGGGGGGGGGGGGGCGGGGAGAAAGAACAACACCAAAAAAACCTGAGCTTTACTAACTTGGTGGAACATATTATCTTGCTTTTAAATCACATCACTTTTAATAGTTGTGTGGTATCTCATCCAGGAAGCTGTACTCTTTTTTTAACTGTCTGTTTTTCATGGGGTTATGCATTCAGGACCTTTCCAGTGTTTGGGTTTTATAAATTCCACTGCTACAAAACCTCTCTCTGCTGAAACCCTGAACTGCTTCTTTGCCTGTGTTTTTTCTTTCTCAAGGACACTACGATGCTCGGGCCAGAGTCCTTGTTTGCCATGTGACCTCCCTGCTCCAAGTGCCCCTGGAGGAGCTGGATACCCTTGAGGAGACATTCCTTGAGACCCTAAAGGAGACCAAAGAGGAGGAATCTGAGTAAGAGCCCCCTGGGACTCCAGTCATCCCTGTCAATAACTGGGGAATTCCACTTGCCAAAAGGGGGCTTCAAAAAGTTCCTGGGAAAATTCCATTACCTTTTCATGCCATTTTTCCACTAGCTTTTTGAAGCTCCCTCATATACTTTTCCTTTAAAAGGAGGTGCTGTTAAGTAGGAGTGTTGGACTGAGGGTGAGAAGTCCCAGTTATAAGCCAGACTCATTGAATCCTTAGAAAGTCACTACCCAACTCTGGGCCTGAGTTTCCCTCATTTGTAAGACGACGGGATTGAATTGAGGATCGCAAAAGACTGACTATGCAATCTGAACATTCGCTGCCCCTGACACGCAAATGTGGGTATCTCCTGATACCCTCCTTCATCTCAGGCTCGCATAGCATCTTGAGCGTAGAATCAAACAGACCTGGGTTCAAATCTCACTTCTGACACCCATGCACTGTCTGACCTAGAGCAGGTGAACCTCTTCACTAAACTACAATATTCTCATCTGTAGAATGGGATACGATAACCATCCTCTCAGGGTCATGATGAAAACCACATGCAATCATAGTACAAAATGCTTGGCCCAAGGCTAGCACGTAGCAAGCACTCAGAGACATGAGTCCTTCCCTTCTGCCATGTGCTCATGTACTTAACAATTGTAGGGCAGTTTTGCTGACTATGTATGGTAAGGAGCCCGTAAAGGGAAATTTTACTGGTTACTTGGCCAAAGAGTGGCTCTTTCTCAAACACTTCACAGGGGAGCTAATCCAAGAGCAATAAATCAGTCATAGTCACAGCCTAATCGCGAGCTCCTTGCACCAGGCACGTCTCCCCAGTCTTTGTCAGACTGCAGTGGCTTTCTTTGAACAACCAGGTCATGCGGCTCAGCCCAGCTGGAAACTGAGCTCTGAGGGCCACATTCAGAGCACGGTTGTCCTCTGGCCAGGGTTTGTTGGGCAAAGGGAGAGGTGTTTCCGTGAAGAAAGGAGGAAACTTGATCTGTTACAATGACCTGAAAACAGACTTGCTTTGGCTCCCAAAGCTGTCAGTAAAGAAACACCTGAAGCCAGGCTAGGTGTTTGGATGTATTGGAAATGTGTAGTGTCTTATGTGCCTTGAAATGAAGGAACCTCTTAGCTATTGTTTGGGAATCTTGTCAGAAAGACAGGTATCACCTAAAAGGGGTTTGTTTGGACTAAATACCAGTAATGCCAGACTAAGGTAGATATAAAACAAGTTCTAGCCTTCTTGGCGTCAGACACAGTCCAGCTCTGTCACTTACCAGCCACGAGAGCTTGAACAAGTTATTTAACTTTTTGAGCCTTAGATGCTCACCAGCAAAATGGGATAATAATGTTGTTGTGCTGGTGGTTAAGAGCTATCGAGTCAGCTCTGACTCATAGTGACCTTGTCTGTATAAGGTTTTCAAGGACTGGCTGGTAAGCTTGAACCGGTGACCTGGCAGTTCAAACCAACTTTGCAGTCCAGTGCATTAACCTACAGCGCCACACCAGGACTCTGGGATAGAACTCAGTAAGCAGGGGGATAATAATAGCTCCCTGCTTACTGAGTTCTTGTGAATGTAAAATGTTTCAAGCAGGCCTGGCACAGAATAACTCAATAGTAAATGTCATTATTTCCTGCTGTTCATATTACTGTTGTAATCACTATCATTATGTGTGGCTCCTTTCCCCAGAAAAATTATTCCCACATGTAAATTTTAGGGTCTTTGCAGACCTCTCAGATCCAGTCTGTGGTTTCTGGAAGGTTCTGAGGCTAAAAAACCTAGTAACTATTGAACCAGGTGACCTGGTTCTCATTTTGATTCTGCTACTAGCTAAGTATGGCCTTGGACACATCACTTTCCCTCTCTGAGCACCAGTTTTCCACTGGCACAATCAAATCGAACTGAATGTAAGTTCTTTCAACTCTGAGGTTTTCATGTTTCTGTGAAGTGAGCTTATCACTCAGTACTTTGAGGTGATTCTTTCCAGCTGGCGTTGAGGGTGTGATGTGCCAACTGTGGTACTTGGGTCCCCATCTGAGCCTTAAGTCTTTCCAGGCTTCCCCTACTTGCTTAGTGACTTCATCTCTCTGTGCCTCTGATTCTCCATCTCTAACATGAAGATAGTGGTAGTATCTATCTACATAGCATTGTTAAGAGAATTAAATTAATTGGTGCTCATCATATGCTTGGCACACAGTAGGTTCTCAGTAAGCTTGAACTAATAACACTGGTGAAAGTTCACACTGGCCTCCTTATAATTACAACGCCAACAACTAACTCTCACTGAGTGCTTACTAGATGCCGGCACCTGACGTCATTTCATTGGCTCCTCAGAGCATAGCAGTCCCTTGAGGGGTTTGCAGGTAAAGAAACAGAAAGATGTAACAGCCAAGGTCCCACCGCTGTCAGTAACTGGGCCAGGATTTGAAACAAGCCTGTCTGAGTCAGCCACCATAACATCCAGACATAATGTCACTTACTCTGCCCCTGACATCATGGTTAACAATCCCAAGTGGCCTCCTTAATTCTGAAGAAAGTAGTAAAGATAGTGTTTCATGGAGCTTTAACTAGAAAAATGTCTCTAGCCTTCCTGGAGATAAGCGCTTCCTCTCTCTCAAGGGAGGGTGATAAAGGAAAAAGGTGGTGGTGAAGTGATCAGATGATAAGGTAGGGAACACCTCTCACAGGAGGGGAGGTGGCATTGAGCAAAATGTAGCTACATTGGATCTGTGAGATGGGTGTCTTGCTTTTCATTAGGGATGCTGAGCTTCTGCCTGACCCAAGTCTACCACTTGGCTCCCACCTCTGTCTTTGAAAGGTTGAAGTGGAAGGCCAAGTCCAGGTCGTCTCTGGCATTGCTAGGTTGACATCCTATCTAATCAGTGTGACAAAAATCAAACATAAGAACAAGGCTGTCATTGAGTGTTGGTATTGTCTGAATTTTCCATCTCAGTCAGAGGAAGCATTCCAGGTGGATCTCAGAGGGAACATCTCCACTTGTGCCTTAAAGGGCAGAAGTCAGCCAGACAGCTGAAGTCTGTATAAGAGCAAAATGCTGTGGTAGTTAATGATGATTGGAAAAGGTATTCACTTTATGTACAAAACAATTACAAAGAATGTTCACCTGCTTACAGAAAATAGAGGAAAAGATGCTTAAAGGGAATGGTTTAGGAGAGAATGCCTTCGCTGCGTAACTTTAGGAAAAAGATATTCTCTGTGAGTCGGCGAATGTTTATAAACATTAAATAATAATGCAAAGCAGAAGACTAGAGATTAGAATATGCCATTAAAGTATGCCCCTCATGGTTTTCTCTAATGTGGACAATCTTTAGTAAAATGGATTGGATATGCTAATATTCATGCATTTAAATAACACAAACTTCAAGAATTATATTTACTTTTTGTATTTCCATTAGACTGTGCATCTTCTCTTTGGAACTCAGCTATAAAAGTGTGACTATCTCATGTCACAAGCTTCTGGTGTGGAGCTGTAGGGTCAGCACTGGACTGCTAATCACAAGGTTGGTGGTTCAAATTCAGCAGCTGCTCCTTGGAAACCCTATACATGGTCAGTATGAGTCAGAACTGACTCAACATCGCTTAACAACAACAATTTCAATTTCATAGATGTGCAGACATCACTGCGGAATAGTCTAGAAACAGACGATGCACTCATTCAAGAATTCAACTATGTTCTTAATTATAAATCTGTGGTGCTAATTATAACAATACCATTTCAGATTTATTCTAGTATTCCAGAAATTTCATTTTTTATGGTAATTGGCTTATTGGACTATATTCTAGCTAAATAGTTCTGTTGAGCCAAAATATGCATCCCATGTCCCTCTGTTTTCCTAAATGTTGACAGTCTGTGAGGGAAGATATTACCATGGTAAGATGTTCACTTCTGATCCTTGTTGGAATATTTAAGTTTCATTCAGTGTTCTGAATGGGCTTTCCATTTCAAGGCCAGGGCAGGATGCTGAGGTTGGAGAGTCAAAAAAGGTTTGCTCCATGTCCTAAAAGTTTGGTTCAGAGATTTTCAAACATCACTATAAGTCAGAACTGACTCCACGGCACTTAACAACAGTCTCTGGAAGCAGTCTGCCACATCTTTCTCCCATGGAGTAGCTGATAGGTTTGAACTACCAACTTTTCAGTTAGCAGCTGAGCACTCAACTGTTGTACCACAAGATCTCTACGGCATTAGCTAAGTCCCATCCTTACAAAGGGTCCTCCTCCATTTATATTTCATAGGCGAGAAAACTGAGGCCCAGAAAAATTGGGTGTCTTGCTCTAAGTCACACAATAAGAGAATGTCAGAGCCGGACTCAAATGCTTCTCCCAGATCTCAAGACCATTGGCTGTTTTGAATGAAGATGCAGCGATTCATAGCCAGCTGTTTGGTCAGTGGCAGGCTCCTCTCGTATGTCTTTAGCAGCTCGGTTGTTGTCTCAACACTTTCCAGCTCTCCCTATTTGTACTGAGTAGTGAGAGCAATGAAGGGCCAAAGTCTCCTTAGCCTGTGTTCAAAGGAACTCAGAGGGATGATGAAAGACATGATCATAGCAACAAAATAATGAGTGATTTAGGAGCCCTGGTGGTGCTGTGGTTCCAGCACTTGTCTGCTAACCAAAAGGTTGGTGGTTCAAACCCATGAGTCGCTCCACAGGAGAAGGATGTGGTCATCTGCTTCTGTAAAGGTTTACGGTCTTGGAGACCCAATGGGGCAGTTCTGCTCTACCCCATACAGACACTATGAACTGGAATTGACTCAAAAGCAATACGTTTGGTTTTCTGGGTTTGATTATACCCTTTTGTTGGATAAGGAAACTCAGACTTGACAGGTAATTTGTGCATAACCACAACATTAGTAAATGACTTTATTTGTCAGGATGGGCTGCCGTTTTGCTGCAATCTCAGAAGCGTAAGTTGTATTTATTTGCGCTACATGCCCTTCACTGATTGGCTGTGGCTTTAGTCCATACTGCCTTCACTCTGAGGTTCCTTCACTCTAAGGATGCTAACCGATCGGTTGGTGGTTTGAACTCACCAGCCACTCCACAGGAGAAAGATGAGGCAGCTCTAGGCTGTCTTACAGGGTCACTATGAGTCAGAATTAACACAGCGTTGGGTTTTGGTTTGATCTTCTCTCTGGGCCCCAGGCTGACAGAGCAACCTCTGTCTGCGACGCTGCTGGTCTCAGAGCAGACTGAAAGGACACAGATCAGGGTCCTCTGCACTAGCTCTTAAAGTGACCTGTGTCACTGCCACCTACATTTCATTGGCTAAAGTAGGTCACGTGGCCTCCTCAGTTCTATAGGCAGAGATGTATAGTCCTTCTATAGGGAGGCCCAGTGCAGGGAGGGATGACTGACTATTTTGTGAATGGTAATATGGTATTCCACATCAGCAGAGGTAGGAGTCAAGTCTGTGTCTAAATAACACTCTGTTGCTGTCAAATCATCTCCAACTCATGGCGACCCCGTGTGTGCAGAGTATAACTGTGCGCCATAGGGATTTCTTAGCTGATTGTTTGAAAGCAGATCACCAGAATGCACTACATTCTTGAGAGAAGTGTGTGGGTTGAGTGGCTAAAGGAATGGCTGGATTTAATCTGTACAAACCAGATGTAAGGTTCAGGGAGGTGACGCATCATAGCAATAAGAAAACCGACCAGGTGCTTCTGAGTCCGTTCCAATTCCTGGTGTCCCCAGGTGTATTGGAACAGAACTGTGCCCCATAGGGTTTTCACTGGTTGAGTTTGGGGAAATAGTGCCAGGCTTTTCTTCCAGGGCACCTCAGTGGACTCAACCTCCAACCTTTCTATTAGCAGCTAAGTGTATTAACTGTTTCACTGCCAGGGACTCCATGATAACAATACCCATTAGCATCCAGTCAATTCCAAATCACAGCAACCTTGTTGTTGTTAAGTGCCATTAAGTTGGTTCCAACTTATAGAGACCTTGTATAAGGTTTCCAGGAGCAGCTGGTAGGTTTGAACCACCAACCTTGTCATTAGTAGTCCAGTACTTATCCTACAGGACCACACCAGGACTCCCATAAAGACCTTTGTTGTTTGTTGTTAAGTGCCGTATAAGGTTTCCGAGGATGGCTGTGGGTTGGAACTGCCCATCTTGCAGTTCAATCTGACCTTGCCACCACTAATTGAGCATTTGCAGTGTACCAGTCATTAAGTTAAAAGCTCCTCTTAATTGGTCCCCACAACCCCTCAGGAAATAGGTCATACTATCCCTTTATACCTATAATATGGGGACAATAATAAAACTGCTGCTTAGGATAAGATTAACTGTGTTAATTGCAAAATACAATGGCTGGCATATAGAAGCCCTCGGGATATATGAACTCCTCTTCTTTTATTACCCTCATCATTTCTTATCATTCCACACGGAGCTGTTGTCCAAACTCCAATGTTAGTCCAGAGTCCACGCCAATAATGACCGCAGCTCCCCAGCCCTCTCCCTCTCCTCCTACCTCTATGGCTTCCAGGTGGCTGAGGGCTGAATCCCCGACAGAAAAGCCGGGTTTGGTGACAGCCATTAACCCTCCCAGCAGTCAGCTCAGGGTCCAGCTGACCCCGGTCCACCCCAGTTCTATCCTGTGGCTGAATATCATAGCTTTTAAACTTCACGTCGGAGCGATGTAGACACAGCTCCATTGCCAAGGTTACCCATGCAGACATTTCTCTAACCCATCTTCTAAATCATCATTCTGAAGGAAATGGGTTTTCAGTTGTCCCAGAGGGAGGTGGGAGTGGGTAGGGGAGGAAGGCTAAGTAGGAGACAGTGACTTCTGTGAATCTATTTAGTACTCGTCTGGGGCCATCTGTTAAAAGACCTTTTTTGTGCTTCTTTTGCTGTTGTTATTTTCTTGTCTTCTCATTATTCAAATTGCAACCTTTTAGGATGAACCTGTGGGGTAAGTAACGCATCCCATGCACTGGGATTCCCCAGCTGGCTTCCAGAATGTGGTCAGCTTTTCTAGAACCATGGATGGGCCCTGGGGTGACTTAGGTGCCTTACTCTGCATGACAGTGCACCCTCATTGACATCAGTGTGGGGGCTGGGGAGGTGGGGAGGTCTCTAGGGGTCCTAGGCACAGCTGGCCCTAAAAGCCAACCTTTCCCCACCCCATCCACCCCCAGAATGGCCGAGGCATCCCGGAAGAAAAAAGAAAACCGGAGGAAATGGAAGCGCTATCTCCTGATAGGCCTGGCAACTATTGGAGGTGGCACAGTGATCGGTAAGGCCAACTCCAGATAGTGACTTTTAGACCATGGGGGGCGTGGGTTGGGGCATAGGAGTACAGCACACAGTGGGGTGAGCTGGAAGGTGACTGAAGTGGAAGGACCTCAAAAGTGACCATTCCCTAAGATACCCACCCAGGGTATCTTTAATGTCAGTGACCAGGGAACTCCCTTAGCCAGTTTTGCAGCCATCCCTGACTAAATGATATGCCTTCTCTAGATCTATTTAAGTCCTTTTAGTCCCCCAGCCCAGACTTCAACACAAGAACCTTCCACTCCCCAAGCCCTGCTTCTCCTATGTCTCAAGTTCGCTTTGCCTTGTAATATATCGCTTAGAACAACACAAATATATTATCTCACAGTTCTGGAGCTCAGACGCACAAAATGTATCTTCTAGTTACTGTTGTTAGGTGTCATCGAATTGATTCCAACTCATAGCGACCCTGTGTACAACAGAACAAAATGTTGGCTGGTTCCGCACCATCTTCACAATTGTTGTTACGTTTGAACCGTGCTGATGTCACGTGTCAATCCGTCTCATTGGAGGTCTTCTTTTTCAATGATCCTCCACTTTGCCAAGCATGATGTCCTTTTCCAGACAACTGGTCTCTCCTGACAGCATGTCTGAAGTGTGAAAGACACCTCGCCATCCTGGCTTCTAAGGAACATTCTGCCTGCACTTCTTCCAACACAGATTTGTTTGTTCTTCTGGTAGTCCATGGTACTTTGAATATTCTTCTCCAGCACCATAATTCAAACACATCAATTCTTCTCAGGTCTTCCATATTCATTGTCTAGCTTTCACATGCATATAAGGCAATTGAAAATACCATTGCTTGGGTCAGGCACACCTTTGTCCCCAAACCTGATATCTTTGTTTGCTCTTGAATACTTTAAAGAGGACTTCAGCAGTAGATTTGTCTAATGTTGTCTTTCTGGGCTAAAATCAAGATGTCAGTGGGCCTGAGTTCTTTATGAAGACTCTCTAGGACAATTGCCTTGCCTTCTTCAGCTTCTAGAGGCTACCTGAGTTCCTTGGGCCCTGGACCAATCACTCTAACCTCTATTTTTATTATCATATCTCCTTCTCTGACCAAGCCTCCTTCCTCCCTCTTATAAGTATACATATGGAAGATGGAAGGAATACACAGCGTCACTATGCCAAAAACAAGGGCTCACCATTCAACCATTTCAGTAGGTAGGATTAGAGACCAAGAACCGATGGTAGGAAGAAAGAAGTCCAAGCTGCAATGAAGGCACTGGCAAAAAACAAAGCTCTAGACATTGACAGACTACCAGTTCAGATGTTTCAACAAACAGATGCAATACTGGAAGTGTTGCCAAGAAACCACTGAAAGAGATCCATGTTTGTACCCGTTCCGAGAGGTGATCCCACAGAATGCAGAAATTATTGAATAGTATTCTTAGTAGCACACCCAAGAAAAATTTTGCTAAAGAGAATTAAAAAAATGGTTGCAGCAGTACATCAGCAGGGATCTGTGAGAAACTTAAAGATGGATTCAGAAGAGGACTTGGAATAAGGGATATCTTTGCTGATGTCAGGTGGATCTTAGCTGAAAGCTGAGAATACCAGAAGGATGTTTACCTGTGTTTTATTGAGTCTGCAAAGGCCTTTGACTGAGTGGATCATAACAAACTAAAACAATGGGTAGAATGAGAACTCCAAAACACTAACTGTGCTCATGAAAAACCTGTATATAGACTGAAAAGCCAGTCATTCAAACAAAATAAAGGAACACTGTATGATTTCAATCAGGAAAAGTGTGTGTCAGGGTTGTATACTTTCACCATATTTATTTAATTTGTGGGTTGAGCAAATAATCCAAGAAGCTGGATTATATGAAGATGAATGTGACATCAGGATTGGAGGAAGACTAACTACCAAGCTGCAATGTGCAGATGATACAACCTTGCTTGCTGCAAATGAAGAGGACTTGAAGTTCTTACAGATGAAGATCAAAGAATACAGCCTCAGTATGTATCACACTTCAATGGAAAGAAAACCAAAATTCTGGACCAGTAAAGCAACATCATGATAAGCAGAGAAAAAGACTGAAGTTGTCAAGGATTTTATTTTACTTGGATCCTCAATCAGTGTCCATAGAGGCAGAAGTCAAGAAATCAAATGACACATTGCACTGGGCAAATCTGCTCTTAAATAACTCATTAAAATGTTAAGAAGTGAAGAAGTCACCTTGAGGACTAAGGTGCACCTAACCCAAGCCATGGTATTTTCAGTCACTTCATATGCATGTGAAAGCTGGACAGTGAATAAGGAAGACCATAGAAGACTTGATGCCTTTGAACCGTGATGCTGGTGAACAGTATGGACTTTACCATGAACTGCCAGAGAATGAACAAATCGGTTTAGAAGTCGAGCCTGAATCCTCCTTAGAAGTGAGAATGGCGAGACTTCATTCCATATATTTTGGGCATGTTATCAGGAAGGTCTAGTCTCTGGTAAAGTAGAGGGTCCGTGAAAAAGAAGGAGACCCTCCATGAGCTAGACTGACACAGTGGCTCCAACAGTGGGCTCCAACATAGGAAGGCTTGTGAGGGTGCCTCAGGACCTGGCGGTGCTGCCTTCTCTTGTACATGGAGCCTCTGTGAGTCAGAACCAACTTGACAGCACCTAACAACTGTATCAGATGATTACATTGGGCCCACCCGGATAATCCAGGCTCAGTCTCCCCATCTCAAGATCCTTAACTTAATCCCGTTTGCAAAATTCCTTGACATGCAGGGTCACAAATTTGTAGATTCTGGGCATTAGGACATGGTTATCCTTTGTTGTTGTTAAGTGCCGTTGAGTCGATTCCGACCCATAGTGATCCTGTATAGGGTTTCCAAGGAGCAACTGGTGAGCTTGAACCACTAACCTTGCATTTCAAACGGCTTTGCAGTCTGGCGCATTAACCCACAGCGCCTTACCAGGACTCCTGGTTATCCTTGTTGTTATGTGCCGTGGAGTCAGTTCCGACTCAGAGCGACCCTGTACAGGGTTTCCGAGGCTGTAAATCTTTACGGGAGCAGAAAGCCTCATCTTTCTCCCGCGGAACAGCTGGTGGTTTCTAACTGCTGAACGTGAGATTAGCAGCCCGATTCGTAACCAATCCTTAGGAGGAAGCCATTATTCCTTGTCTAGAACTTGGGAACAATGTTGTGCGTAGGTAGCAATACAATTTGCATTAGTCAATGGCAGCCACATAGTGGAGTCCCTGGGTGGTACAGACGGTGAGCGGGAAAGTTGGAGGGGTGAGTCCATCCAGAGGCTTCTCAGTAGAAAGGCCTGTCTGCTTCCCAAAACTCAGCCATTGAAAACTCTGTGGAGCACAGGTCGCTGGTATTGTCAGATGGTTCCATGAATGGCAATGGGCAGCTCATGAGGGAAGAACCCAGCAGGCTGTGTCCTCATTCTCACCTTTATCCACTGCCGGTGGTTTTCCTTGCAGGTGTGACTGGGGGTCTAGCTGCCCCACTTGTTGCTACAGGAGCTGCGACTATCATTGGCAGTGCTGGGGCAGCCGCGCTTGGTTCTGTGGCAGGAATAGCCGTCATGACATCACTGTTCGGTGCAGCGGGAGCTGGCCTGACAGGTATGTTCAACACTAACGGGCCTCTCTTCCTGCACCCTGTGTAAACTTTCTGAGAAGGAATCTGATTGGACCTGCTTGCCACCATCCAGTAAGGAGTACAGTTCCCAGTCCTTCTTCCCCAGAGATGTTTAGAGGGTACAAGGCTACTGTTCATTTTACCTACTTCACTTGGGGGAGTTCTTCCAAACCACATAAGTCAGTATACACCCACGTATGTAGATTCCTGTTCAACTCCCCAAGTGGGGTATCACTCCCTTCATTGATAATCTTGCATAACTTGATCTACTTTATTGAATGGAGGGGATCATGCCTTCAAAATGTGTGGGAAGGAAAAAGGTGCAGAACCAACTCAGTCAGGACAGAGTTTAGCTCCTGGGCTCTGAGTCCAAACCCCAGCTGTGAATTTCAGGTGCTGGCCAGCTGGGAGCAGTCTTGTAGTCTCGTCTCGAGTTGAAGAAAATAATGGCGCCTCCCTCAGGAACGAAATGCATTTGTCCAGATCGGGGCACATAGCCGGTGCTCACCAAATGGGCCATTGTGACGAATGTGCCGTGGGACTGCCAGTCTCTTGCATGCTCATTTTCATGTCTGGGTCTTTAGGATACAAGATGAAGAAGCGTGTTGGGGCCATTGAAGAATTCACATTCCTACCTCTAACAGAGGGCAAGCAACTGCACATCACCATCGCCATCACCGGGTGGCTCGCATCTGGAAAATACCGTGAGAATCAGAGGTGGATGGAGTGAGGGGTGGGGGAAGGGATTCAACTGAGCTGGACCTGCTGCTGCATTCGGACCCTAGGCTCGGCTCTGGACGGTGTATGTCTCTTGGGGTGTGGGTATTATGAACCCCATTTACAGAGATGAAAACTGAGGCTCAGGGAGGGGAGGTGACTTCATCCCCCATACATCCATCTATTCATCCACCTATCTACTCTTTCTCCCACATATCCATTCATCCATCCATCCACCTACCCACCCATCCACCCATCCATCCATCCATCCATCCACCTACCCACCCATCCATCCACCCATCCATCCACCTACCCACTCATCAGCATTTAGAGAATACCATGCTTTCTGTGTGCCAGACACTGAGCCAGGCTCTGGGGACAAAGGTGAAGAGCTCAGGCAGGATCTCTGTGCCCTGGCAAGTAGGAGACAGACTGTTGAGCAAGAAACTATGAAGAAGCTTTATGGATTGGAAGGAGCCCTGGTAGTGCAGAGTTTAAGCACTCAGCTGTTAATCAAAAGGTCAGCACTAGGCACTTGGTGGGAGAAAGACGTGACTGTCTGCGTCTGTAACGATGACAGCCTTGGTAACCCTATGGGGCAGTTCTACCCTGTCCTGCAGGGTCACTGTGAGTCAGAGTTGACTGGATGGTAGTGGGTTTGGGGTTTTATGTATGGTGCAATAAGCATAGGATATTCTGGGAATGAGGGCAAGCTTCCTGAAAGAAGTGACATTTTACCTGAGGAATGAGTGGTAGTTAACCGGGTAAAGAAGGAGCCAGAAGCATACATCGAGAAAAGGAGCAGCGTATGCAAAGGACCAGTGGTATGAGAGAGCCAAAATGGAGCACAGAATGTCTATTGCAGGGAGCCAGAAGACAGGAGAGTGGGCAGGGACTAGATCCCACCGGAGCATCTGAGCTGTGGAGAAGGGTTTGAATTGATCCTAAGAGCAAGTAGAAGTTAGTGACAGATTGTAAGCATGGAGGTGAAGATCAGTACATTTTAGTTGAGTAACCTCAAGCAAGTTCCTTAACCTCTCCGCATCTCAGCTGCTTTATCTGAAAAGTGTAACCAATTATTCTTGCCTTTCAAGGTTGCTAAAAGAATTAAATTAAATGAGATAACTTGTAGAAGGCTCCCAGCACAGCTTCTGGTTCCTAGTTGTTGTTGTTAAGTGCTGTTAAGTGGGTTCAGATGCACAGCAATCCTTTATAGGGTTTCTGAGGAGCAGCTAGTGGGTTTGAACCGCAGTTAGCAATCCAATGCTTATTTTATCAACATAAATTGTGGTATGGTACTGTAGAATGAACACTGGCCTGCTAAAACCACAAGGAGTTCTCCAGATAGAGAAGGAGGAAGCTTGGTTCCCTCCCTCCAGGATCAGGGGATGTTCCGGTGCCTGAGGCTTCTGATTCAACACCCAGGTGAGGGTTCCAGGGACTGCAGGAATCTGTCTTCCCAACAGGAGCTTCTAACCAGGGCATCGTTGTCAATAAACGCCATGGTCTACTGCCTGACTCAGCAAGCACTTCATCACAGAGCAGGGTGGACCACCAGAGTGCAGAGGTGAATGCCTCGTATCTTTTAGGGAAGAAAGCAAGTGAGAAAAGGTCCAGACTCTTTTTACAGATGTTCCCAGGCACCAGAATCAGCCCTTCCCCACACAGTGGGTCTCTACTAGTAACTAAGCCCTTCCAGTGTACCTCTCCCATGTCAGGCATTTTACCTGAGTCCTGGAAACTTGGCAGGAGTTACCTCCTGCCACCCTCACATCCACCCTCTGGTGGGGGCTGTTCTTATCCTGGTCAGTGGGAAGAAGGCTCACATAGCAGGTGAGCAGCAAATGCAGGATTCAGACCCAAAAGTCCATGTGTTTCTTTTCCTTTGTGTTCACCACACCATGCTACAGGAAGGAAAGAACAAGATCAGGGGTCTGAATAAAGGCGTTTGCAGCTGTGACCAGTATGGAAAGCAAATCCCTTGCCTTCATTTTATCCCCATTGGCTCATCAATTTGCCCCAGGAGGAAGGAAATCATCTTTAGTGTGTTCGGGCACTCTCATGCAGTAGGCCACCCAGGCAGAGGGAGTGCTTTCATTTTGGGGTTTTATTAGTATACAAGTAATAAAGTCAAGGGGACATCGCCTCTCCCTGTCTCTCTGGCAGCCAGTGAGGCTGCGTTGTCATCACAGACTTCTTGTATCATTTCTGGTGGCTGCCATAGCAAATGGTTCCAAACTGGTTGGCTTGAAACATCAGAAATATGTCTCCTCCCAGTGCTGGAGGGGAGAAGTCCTACATCATGGTGTGTGCAGGGCCGGGCTCCGTCGGAAGGCTCTGGGATGTTTCCTTGTCTCTTCCTTGCTTCTAGTGATTGCCAGCAATCCTTGGCATTTTCTGTCTTGTAGCTGCGTGCCGCCAGTCTTTGCCTCCGTCTTCACATGGCCTTCTTCCCTGTATCTGTGTGTGTCTTCTCTTTGTCTTACAAAAACACCAGTCATTGGATTTAAAACCCCACTGCTGTTGTGTTGATTTCACTCCCGGTGACCCTATAGGACAGAGTAAACCACTCCATAGGCTTGCCAGGGCTGTAACTCTTTATGGAAGCAGACTGCCTCAACTTCCTCCCTCCGAGCAGCTGCTGGGTTCAAACTCCTAACCTTTTGATTAGCCACCCAACACTTAACCCATTGTACCACCAGGGCTCCTTCATTGGATTTAAGCTCCCCCTCCCCAAATCCAATATGATTTCATGTTGATCCTTAACTAAGTATATCTACAAATACCGTGTTTCCAAATCAGGTCACATTCTACATTTCCAGGTACACATGAATCTTGAGGTGACAGTATTAAGCCCATTTCACTTGCTTCTATGTATGATGAGACTAGCTGGGCTTTGGTTTCTTTTTTCTCACTCTTTTATTAAACATGATTACGTACCTAGTGGAGCCCTTGGATGGCGCTGTGGGTTAATGCGCTAGACTGCAAAGTTGGTTTGATCTGCAAGGTTGGCCGTTCAAGCTCACAAGTCAATCTTTAGAAACCCGTCACTGGGTTGCTATGGGTCAGAACTGACACGATGACACTTAACATGTACAATAGGAATAATAGTTTTATAGCAGATCATTTGCCAGGAGCTAGACGACGACCCAAGGGTTTTGCCTACATTGGTTCCTCACATCTACCTCAAGAGGTGAGCATTATCTCTCCCTAATTTACAGATAAAGAAACTGTGACTCATAGGGCGGCTCAGGTTCTCCCAACTAGTCAGAGATAAGGACTTCCCTGTTCTGGCCCGACAGCCTGTATGCTTGGCCATGGAGCCATGTAATTCCATACATTACTTTATAGAATGCTTTTCACACAACATGGCCTGTGATGCCCACCACTCCAGGCATCAGATACTGTTCCGTTCTCACAGATGCCGAAATCCAGACTCAGGGCGGTGGGTCTTGCTATGCATGAGGTACTTATCCAGGAAGCTGCTGAACTTCATGGGTCAGCGTTAAAGCAGACCTGTGCCATTCTGTACTCACAGCCTCACTCAGGCCTGGCTGTCCCCTGCTAGAGACACTGTCTGTGTATGACAAGAGATGTATTTCAATTATATATTTAATGTTGTTGTTGTTAAGTGCCGCCAAGTCAGTTCCAACCAATAGTGACCCTGTATAGGGTTTCTGAGAAGCTTGAACCACCAACTTTGTAGTCTTGCACATTAACCCACAGCACCACACCCGTACTCTATGTATTTATGTCAATATATATGTATATTAATAATGTATATAAATGCTACGTGATACATATCTCACATACAATTAGCCATTTTCACCCTTTTAAGTGTACAACTCATTAGCATTAATTACGTTCACAATGTCATGCAAAATATCACCACCATCCATTTTCACATCATTTCCATCATCCCAAACTGACCTCGGCAACCTTTCAGCAATCACTCCTCACTGCCCTTTTTCTCCCAGCCCCTGGTAACCTCTCATCTACCTCCTGTAACTAAGCATCTGCCTATTTTAGATAGTTCATAATAGTAGAAGTACAATGTTTGACCTTGCATGTCAACATCTTAAACTCAGTGTCATGTTTACAAAGTCCGTACATGTTGTTGTTGTTATTAAGTACTGTCGAGTCAGTTCCAACTCATAGCAACCCTGAATCGTGTTGCAGAGTTTCAAATTCACATGAAATCCAGATTTTCTGGAGTTATTGAAGCTGATAAAACCTCTGAAAGTATTGCCCTGAGAAAATCTTTAAA